CTGCCTCAGCCTCCCGAGTAGCTGGGACTACAGGCATGCGCCACCATGCCCGGCTAATTTTTTCTATATATTATCAACACGAGCCTTGACTCAGACATAATATGTAAAGCAGATTATTGAACTTCAGTATAACATTAATGTGGGTTGAGTCAAATTAAGCTCTTTTCTAAAGAAATAAAAGAAACATGGTTAGGAATAAGAAGCACATGGAAGCTCAAAAACAATATTTTACCAAACTTTCGAAATAAATCTCTAGAGAAAAATATTATTAAGAACATATGATAATTAAAATAAAAAACCCGATGAGTTAAATATGTTGGAAACAACCCGTAGAAGAAAAGCAGAACTCACTCATATTTCAAAGTGTTTGTCTTGCAGAAGATCTTCAAGTTTGGATGTAGCAAAGTAAAACACAGCCTTTTGAAAAACAATTAAGAATTGTAGTTCATAGCACCAGCTTCCCCCAAGGAAATTTTCTATTGATTTGTAATTTGGCCTTAAATTTGACCTGTGGCCTTCATGTCATGATAATTTGGGTCACTCTGAATATGCCATCCCTCGAACAAGGGCCTCTGCTAATTTTAAATGAATGCAGCTGCCCGTGTGCCATTCTTCTATTTGCATCACAATATGTGGGAATAGATTCACAATTAATAAAACATTTCCAGTAAGCAGTCAGACCGAGGAAATGAAGGACGTTTATTAAGTTTAAAAAGAGATATTTCATTTTTGCCTTTTTGAACATAAAAAAGGGAAAGAAAACAGTTCATGTCTTTGACAATCTTGGTAGAGGCCAGAATTGTACTCTGGGTGATAGTATCTAAAAAAGCCAAAAAGTCTTTGGTCAAACTTAAGTGTAAAATAAACAAAACATTAAAAAAAAAAAGCCATGTAACCTCAAATTAGATTTTAGTTAAAAAAAAAAAAGTAAAATAAATGTAGAAAAGTTTGTACCAGGCCTAAAAACGTTGGCCAGACTTCTTTCCTTCTCTCTTTGGTTCAGTGAAAATGAATACTTTCCAAGTTTGATTTCATGAGGAGCGCTTGCATTTGAAACGACCTCGCTGAAACCTTTGGTGGCCAAGCACCTTAGGGCCTTCATTCCGTCTTGCATCTGAGGCTACATTAATTAGTAATATGTTGTCCAGATAGAGGGAAACGGGTCCTACGTGGGCATACCAGGAAAGCGAGGAGTCTGGAAGGCCCGTCTTAAGAGAAACAAGAGAACGAACTTGAAAGAGAAGGAAGTCGGGGGAGCCTGAGGAGAAGTTAGGATGTCTTAATAGCTGCTTTGGGGCTTTGAGTTTGCTGTTTTCACTGTGTACAATGTTCCTACCCCCTCCCCTTTCCACCTGTTGAGATTCTCCTCATTTTCCAAGGCCAGATTGAATCATCATCTACTGCGAGGAGTTTATAGATTCTCTTAGGATGCATCTCCCTCCTGCAAACCCCCCTAGCACTGGCTGCCACCTCTGTTGTATTACTATCAATAATTCGACTTATCTAGATCAGGTTAGGCAGGGCCTTGAATACCACACTAAGGGTCAGTTTTCAGTTTGTAATTGATGGGGAGTCTTTAAGTTTCTGAGGACAGGCTTGACGTAAGACCCACGTTTTAAGAAGGTATCATCAAAGGTACACTGAGAAGGCGTTTCACGTAAGAACAGAAGGGAAGCGGTTCACGGACTAACCCTTTCTCCCTCCCGCTCTCTCTCTTTTTTAAGCATGTTTACTACGTACCAGGCGGTCCACGGACTCTCTGGTACACCGTGGTCCCGGGCAGCCTCCACGTCCTCACCACTCTTTGGCCCTCTGCAATCCGAGGGTAATTCTCCACTGAAATCGTGCTCTCCAGGCTGAGCAACGACCTGCTACCTGCCACGTCTAGGGATTAGTCCCCTCGGTTCCCATTCTCACCAGCGGTTGTGAGTCCCTAACCTCCTTCCCAAAACTTTGTCTTCTCACAACTCACCAACTGATCGCATGTCCCCTGCGTGTAGTTTGAAATTTGGAAGGCATTTTTACTGTAGAAACTTAAAAGGCAGCTTAATTAGTTAAGGGTAGCCATCGGGGGAGACTTGAAGAGATTCTGAAAGGTATCTTGGAGCGCATTAGACTTGAGAGGCCGGTGACAGCAGATCTAAAGAGAACCGTCAAAGCCTGCAGATTTTTCTTTGAACAGCTCTATTCTTATGCAGGCATGCCAGGGCTGGGGGTAACTTTTGTTGTTTGTTTATCAAAGAAACCGAGAAAGGGAGTGGGGCCCGCCTCTCTTCTGATTCAAGGACTCGAGCGCCAGGCCGCGCGGCTCGCGGGCGGCTCCCCCTCGGCGCGCCCCGAGGCCGGCGGGAGCCCGGAGCTCTCCCCCGATGTCCCGCGGGGCGGGGCGCGCCCAGCGGCCACGCGCGCGCGCGCACGCGGCGGAGGGGGCGTGTCCCGCGGGCGCGCGCGGACGGCGGAGGGGGCGTGTCCCCGGGCGGCGGCGGCTGCGGCGGCGGCGGCGCGGGCCGGGTGCGCGGCGCAGCGTCCTGTGCTGGAATGTGCGGCTCCCGCGAGCTCGCGGCGCAGCACCACAGCAAGCGCCGCCGAGGCCCCGGGCCCCAGACCCCGGCGGCGGCGCCGGCGGCTCGGAAGGCTGGGCTAGGGCCAGTGGCTTGAGCACCCTCTGCAGCTCCACTCCTGGGCCTTCGCGGGCCTTGACGGCCCCAGCGCCCAACTTTTCCACCCTCCCCCTTCCCTCCCCTGAAACTCCAGCAACAAAAGAAAAGTAGTCGGAGAAGGAGCGGCGACGCCGGGTAGCCCGCCCCGCCTCGCCGGGAAGGCCGGTAAGCCCGGCGCGGGCCTGGGGGTTCGGTCGGGGTGGGGGAGGGCCGGCCAGGCGGTGGCGGTGGCGGTGGCGGCGGGAGGGGGAGGGCGCGGAAGGACGCGGAGCGAGGCGCTGTCCAGGGCTGATTTGCAGATACTGTGGCTCCGGCGGCGGCCGCCGCGCCGGGCGGGGGCGGGCGGCCGAGCGGGATCGGGTTACACCGCCGCGGCCCAGGGGCTGGGCCGGGGGCGTTCGTGGGGAGCGGCGCGTCGCCGGGACCCCATCCCCAGTGGAGGCCGGGCGGCCGCCTCTGCGCGGGCCCGGACGCCCCTCCGAGTCCGGTCTTCTGAGGCCAAAGAGCGGAGCTGCTCGGGGCCCTAGTCCTGAAACTTCCTCCTCTTCCTTCTCCTGCCCCCAGGTCCCACCGCAGCTCAGCGCCGGCCCGCGGCCCTCCCGACCCCCTCCCCCCAGCCTCTCCCTTTCGCCGGAAGGCGCCGTTGAGCGCGGCCGGGCTGGTTGAGTCAGCCCAGGGGCCCGGGCGGTTCCGCCAGCGGGGCTGGACAGCGATTTCTGCGCTCCGGCCGCGCCGGCGCCGCCGCCCTCGCGCCGGGCCACCCCACCGCGCGCGTCCGGCCGGGCGCCGTGGGGGAGTGAAGTTCGCAAACTTCCGGGGCGCGGGGGCGGCGGCTGGCCCGCGTGGGGGCCCCCTCCGGCGCTCGGGGCCCGACGCCTCCGGAGGGCGCCCGTGGTGTCTCCCGGCCCTCCGCGAGGGCGAGTCCCGGGGTGGGGGGGGCGTCGGAGGGGTCCTGGGGCGATCGGAGGGGCCCGGACCCCGGCTACGCGGTAACTTTCCGTCCTTTCTCCAGACTCGTGTCCCCGGGCCGGGGAGGGGGCTGCCTGGACTCGGGAAAGACTCGCTCCGGCGCAACGGCGCCCCGAGTTTGCTCACCTCCCCCCGTTTTAGTGGTGGGGAGCACGGGAAAAGCTTTAAGACGAGAGTTGGGGCAACTCCCGAGAGTTGGTGTGTAGACGTGCGCGGTGAGCGGGCCGAGCCGAGAGGAAGCGAGAGCGCCCGAGTTTGCAAAGAGCTGCTTTGTGTTTGGTATTTTGAGAAAATGGCCGAATGCCTATTTCAGTTAGGAATGCCGCCGCCGAGGTAGGCGCTGGTGGCAGCAGCACATAGGAATTCGTGCAACACGTTGCGCTTTCGGGCTGTGCTTGGACGGCCTTCCTGACAAATGTGAACATTCCTTTAGGGGTGGTAGGGTTTGGGGGGTGGGGGCAGTAGAAAAATCGATGTTGGGGTAAATTACCGAGTAGCTTGGGCTGTTAAGCCCTAGGACAGCTTTCGCCCTCTGTGTTCTGTGATGGCATTTGATTCCAACTTTTGTTGGTGCTTAGAACTAAACCGGTTTGTGTTTATACACTTGGGTGAAACGGATTACTTTTTGTATTTTTGGGTTAACTTGATATTTTTAGTATCTGTCACTTATTTTGCTTTTTCTAATTTGCAAGAGAACACTTAGTTTGAGAATAGTACCTTTTAGATTGGAAAGGAACGTGGTTAAGATCATTGAAAAAGCCCAGCTTGTTTTCCAAGAAGGTGATCTTGTAATGGCTTCCACTAGGCAAGTAGGCCAAAACAAGTACAATGCAAAAAAATTGCTGATTGTCGAGTTGGGTTGTACGATTATTTTATTAGACGGTTTGAAAAAAATTCTTTACTTGTGAAGTTTTGAATAAACCAGACTTCCTTTTTCACAGGAAAAGGGGTCCATAATATTTTTTCTCTTAAATCAGTGGAGTCATCGAAAAATTAAGAGGGACCAAGTTGCACTTTTTCAACAATAGTTTTATCTTTTAGAGTTAGTCAAGTTCATATGAAATTCAGTTAAGTTGAACAATTATTACAGGCTTCTACTTTCCTAATGTGTTTGTGTACTTAATAAATGCTCAGGCTTGTGGATTTCTGGGCTTTCTGATTCAGACCATGGAACTGATGAAGGTGGAGGGGAAGTTGGATTACTCATGTATTGAACTTTTAAAATAATTTTAATTAACATTAAAAATGCAGGTTACTTTTTTCACCTAGCACAACAATTAAAAGTGCTTTAGGGACTGCATGCCGGTGGTAGACCTAGTTGATGAATGAGTTGTCAAACAATTGGCAGAATTTTTTCTAGGGGTAGTAGAAATTTTTTTGGTAACTGCTGTAAAGAGAACTGGGAATTAACACAAATATTTTAAAGGTTTGTCATTAGTAGTTAATGAAGCTTATTGAGTTTTAAAGGTTGTGTTGAGAAGTATTTTTTTTTAAGTTGTGAAGAATTACAATGATGCTTTGGCCAGTAAAAGTTGTGTTTAAACTGGTATTCTTGTGTTTTGTTTTGTTTTTCAAAATTCAGAATACAGTTATGGCCACCCAGGTAATGGGGCAGTCTTCTGGAGGAGGAGGGCTGTTCACTGGCAGTGGCAGTATTGGCATGGCGTTGCCTAACGACATGTATGACTTGCATGACCTCTCCAAAGCCGAACTGGCTGCACCTCAGCTTATCATGCTGGCAAATGTGGCTTTAACTGGGGAAGTAAATGGCAGCTGCTGTGATTACCTGGTTGGTGAAGAAAGACAGATGGCAGAATTGATGCCTGTTGGGGATAACAACTTTTCAGACAGTGATGGAGAAGGACTTGAGGAGTCTCCTGAAATAAAAGGTGAACCTAATGGACTGGAAAACATGGAACTGAGAAATTTGGAACTCAGTGTTGTAGAACCTCAGCCTGTATTTGAGGCATCAGCTGCCTCAGAAGTTTACAACTCAAATAAAGATCTTCCTCCAGAAACACCTGGAGGAGAGGACAAATGCAAGAACTTGAAGACCAAACCCTTTCGCTGTAAGCCATGCCAGTATGAGGCAGAATCTGAAGAACAGTTTGTGCATCACATCAGAGTTCACAGTGCCAAGAAATTTTTTGTGGAGGAAAGTGCAGAGAAGCAAGCAAAAGCCAGGGAATCTGGCTCTTCCACTCCAGAAGAGGGAGATTTCTCCAAGGGCCCCATTCGCTGTGACCGCTGTGGCTACAATACCAATCGATACGATCACTATACTGCACACCTGAAACACCATACCAGAGCTGGGGATAATGAGCGAGTCTACAAGTGCATCATTTGTACATATACAACAGTAAGCGAGTATCACTGGAGGAAACACTTGAGAAACCATTTTCCAAGAAAAGTATACACATGTGGAAAATGCAACTATTTTTCAGACAGAAAAAACAATTATGTTCAGCATGTTAGAACTCACACAGGTAAGAGAAGCTTTCTAGTCCCCCAAGTTCAGTTCTAATTGTCAATTGGGTGGTGCTGGAGAACCCAGTGGGACTCTGCGTTCAAACCCGGGTTCTATTATTTGCTATCTTTGTGACCTTGGACAAGTGATTTAACCTCTTTGTTGCACATTCTCCATGGAGTAACAACATAGATGGGATTGGAGGATTAAGTGAAGTAACACATGTGTAAAGCACTGAGTGTTATTTGAGAAGAACAGCGAAAAGATCTGAGCAATGCTCTTCTAAAGTACATATCCTAACAACTTGAGATAGACCATTTCACTAAATCAGATTGCCTTTAAGTTTTTAGATGTGTTTAAATGACAGTGAGCACACCTGAGATATGGTGTAGTTTCTGAAAGGAACTCTGAGGGCTTAGATAAAAAAAGGAAAACCCAATGACTAACCTTGCCTAGCTTTATTGAACAAAATCCTCAAACTTTCAAATGTTTGATTTGTGAGATTGGGTTCCTAAATGGAACAACTTGTCATTGTCCCCAAAACCTAGAAATTCGAGCAGTTAGTTTTTAAAAGATTGATGGGATTACCACCAGTTGAAACTATTTTCCTAAGAAAGCAAACGCACATATGGAAAATGGAGCTATTTTTCAGACAGGAAACAATTATGTTCAGCCTGTCTGAATGCATACAGGTCAGAGGACATTTCTATTCCATAAGTACAATTATCAAAAAAGTTGAAACGTTAAAAAAAATGTGAAAAATTTCAAACATTGCAGAAATAAAGAGAACACCACAGTGCATAATATATACTCTTCACCTACACTCAGTAGTTTTCAATATTTTGTCACATTTGGCATGTTTTAATCATTTTTTTTTAAGATAATAGCTTTATTGAGAGAAACTTCACGACCATACAAGTCATCGACTTGAAGTATACAATTTAGTGGTTTTCATTGTATTCACAAAGTTATGCAGACACCACCACAATCGATTTTAGGACATTCTCATCACTCCAGAGTGAAACCCTTGTCTATTAGCAGTTGTTTCTCATTTCTTCCCAGCACCCCTCAAATTCACTTTTTTAAAATTTCAACATATTATGGGGGTACAAATGTTTTGGTTACATATATTGCCTTCCTTAAATTTACTTTTAAATCGGCTTTTCAATATTTGTGATTAAGGGGCCTCATTTTTCAAAGAAATGTTTGTAACTATTGGTAGTTAATTTTCACAATTCTGTTACATTTTCCTGGTAAGAATTGGTACATTTGAGGTATGATTAAGGGTCTGAACAAAGTGGATAATCTAGTACTCTGCTCTTTGGTTCACAAGTGAAAAGGGGCTGTGGGGTGCCGTTTGCATCAGGTTTTGCAGGAGTTGGCACTCTGCAGGACTGAACTGGTAGAAGGAACACTGGAGAGGGGACTAGATACTGCCTTGCTTAAGTGGTAGACTTAATAAAACTTATGAGTGGAGTTCCATTATAAGAAAGACCTCTGCAACAAGATTTCTAAGCCACAGCAGATGGCTCATGTGTTGCATGCTTTAAAATCTAGTCCAATAAAAGAATTTGCAGTCCCTTTGGAATTTGTTGTAACCAGTGATTGTCTCCATGTTTTGAAACTATTTGATTTCAAAAGTAAAGTTCACACATTACAGAAGGTACATAGCATAGGAAACGAAATTACCTTCATTATTGTTAAGACAAACTGTTAGATCAAACTGTAGACCGAACTAATTTCAGCTACAGAGTTTCTTGACATGACAAAGTCTTGCTCTGTAGCCCGGGCTAGAGTGCAGTGGCATGATCATAGCTCATTGCAACCTCAAACTTGAGGGCTCAAGCAATCCTCCTGCCTCAGCCTCCTCTGTAGCTGGGACTATAGGCACACCCGGCTAATTTATTTTTTTTTTTTGTAAAGATGAGGTCTTGCTCTTATTCAGGGTGGTCTCGAACTCCTGGCCTCAAGTGATCCTCATGCCTCAGCCTTTCAAAGTGCTGGGATTACAGGTGTGAGCCACCTGCCTGACCTTCACCTACAAATTCTTAAAAAAAATCCCAGATGTCATATATATTTCATCCATAAAGTATTTCATATTCTTTTAACAGTTTTTTCTAAAACCTTGGGCCCTAATTTAGAATTGCCAATAATGTATAGCATTCAGGTAGCAACCGTGACACATGGTAAAGTGTATGACTTATGTGACCACCCTAATGAATTTACACATTTTTACAAATGTATGCAGTTGGCCTTCTGTATTCATGGGTTCCACGTCCTCAGATTCAACCAACCAAGGATCCCAAAAAAA